ATAAAAGAGCAAAGCTGTCCCATGTAGGCACTTGGGAGGGAGAGGAGGTATAGCTCCTACTCATTCTTGACCTCGGCACTAGATGGGAGTGAGTGGTCAGCATCACGCCCCGGCCGCGGTTTACCCTCGGGAAAGGACCCTGGTACCCGTTGGATAGGAGGCTGGGTAGGCCCAGGTCTGGGCGCAGAGGCTGGAGGAAAAATCCTCTGCCGATGTTGAGGATCGAACCCGGTCGTCCAGTCGGTAGCCAGTCACTATTTGACTGAGCTATGCCGGCTTACAACTAACTCAAATAAAACTCTTCAGCATTGGTAATACTGAAGACCACCACTGGATACAGACATGAGCCAGTTCCATTCACAGTCTATTTCTCTAAGATCCTTCTTGTTGCTGTACTCTCATCTTCTTCTTGATTTTGTAAGTTGGTATTTTCCAAGAGGTCTTCCACCAATATTCCCCTCTTTCTACATGTCCATCCCATTGTAAGCAATCTCCTTAAATTCAGTAACCAAACAATATTCTGGGAGCTGTAAGAATCACAGATATTCCTTTACTTTATCCCTCTTAGCTTCCAAAATTGTCCTTTTTTCAAACACTTGTAATTTATGTTATTTCCTCAAAGAAAGGCAGAGATTTATGTATCTTATATATTTAATGTTCTGAATACTAGATAGAATGTTAATGGGTTTAGAACCAATTATAGTAAATATTTATGAAATGCCTAAAAGAACAAATTACAACAATTTGATAGGCAATACAAATCAGCACTTCTGACTTCACTCCCTCAAATTCAAAGAATTTCTGATGTCTGTTAGTTCAACTTTATCTTATATATTGGTAAAAAACAGTCTGAAACCCCTTCACTCATTACGGCTCTAGTACTTTGACTTTTTCCGAAGAGTACCGCCTAAGAGATAGTCAGTGGTCCATGGAACTCCTTCATTTTGAGCGTACATGATCCTGTATGTAAACTCACCAAGACATAAGGTTTCTTAAATTTACCTTGTTACGAGAGAGGAATTTGCACAGTCCATAATCTGCGACTGCAATGTGACCACTTGAATCCAGCAGAAGATTTTCTGGTTTAAGATCTCGATGGATTATTTGCATCTGAAAGCAACAAATGAATAAATTCTCTATACACTGGCGATTAATGTTTCCATTCTTATTGTGGTAGTGAGATAAAGACATACTATTTTGCTTTTCTGCTATATATCACTCTGATTAAGCTGCCATATTTATTATTATTGATTAAATTAATTAAATACCACTAGACCTAATTAATTTTAACTTCTGAGCATGTGACTATAATTGTGAATGAGGTTCTACCTCGTCTCTTATGTGTATACAGATGGAATTATTATTAACAGTCTTAGTTATTGATTTACAGAGATAACAAGGCAGTTACGACGATAGGGATGGGTAATTTATGAATGAATTATTCAAAGTGAATTAATCAGTTCAGACAACTGCACAGCTCTACAACTTACCTCATAAATGATGTAGCGCACACCTCCCTACATGAATATGGGAGTCGCAAATGATTACAAACGAGTCAATTCACAACAAAATTATCTATAGCTTACTCTGGAGTTGTATCACACATTCACTACTTTTTGTATAAAACTGTGTTTTCCCAACAATTTATTCTTTTAACTACTCTTATTTAATTAAATGCACAATATTTAATATCTTTCATAAATAAAGATCATATAATTTTCAGTTGTTAGCTGATATGATCATTGACATACCTTTGTTTATTACAGGGGTGGCCAAACCAAATGATCTTTCGGGCCACTTTGGAAATGCATCATAACTCCGCGGGCCACATATAAAATTATATATCCCCATATTAGATTTAGATACACTATAGACATTTTTTTGAGTGAAAAATTGAAACATAATGAGTTATTATTATTGTGTTTACTATTATTCTTACATGTAAACATAGACAACACACTGTTTGCCGAGATAGGCTTAGGTTCGAAAACAGTTTACTTTTATCAGGTAAAATATCCTTCACAACAGCTTCCAAACATTCTGTCACAAATTTACCATCCGAAAATGTTTTCATTTTTTTTACAATCACAAATGAAACAGAATAGCTTGCCTTAACAACATATAGTGGGACTGCTTTAATTTACTTTTACTATTGAGAAATGATGGATAAACATTGTGAATGAACAAAAATTAGCTACAAATATATATCCTCCAGCAAAGTTATTTACGAAGTAGGATTTGAGGTTTTCCCGGTAGCAGGTCTGAAGATGGCTGTCTTCTGGCTTGTAGCACTGTGTAGTAACCTTGGCACTAGACAGCGGTGAGTGGTCAGTATCACATCCCTGCTATGCTTTACCCCCAGGAAAGGACCGCAGTACACATTAGATAGGTGGCTGGGTGGGACAAAGAAGCAAATCAGATGGCAACTACATTATTAATCAATGTCTGAGCTAATTAAACCTGAAAAGTCATTCAGACAAAAGAAGCAGAAATTCAGGGACAGATGGAATTATCCTTTGTTACTATTTCAGATATTTATGACAGAAATTTAAAATTGTCTGATGTGTAATGAAGAAATAAAGTACTGAATGAAACTGAAAAATTCTGTAGCCATACAATTAATCAATTACATAATTTTAGGTTTCACACCTCATGCAGGTGTTGAATGGCCAGGATAATTTCTGCTAAGTAATATTTAACTTCAACTTCTGTAAGTTTCCCCTGCCTCGATATGTACTGCCTCATGTCTCCGCCAGGAAAGTAATCTGGAACAGTAATAACGCAACCTTGTTACTGTGAGGACACTTATAGCCATGTGTGGCTCACCTTTCATAATTTGCACTGTTATTCCCACCTGTCTCAGTTTAATCTCATCTTCCCTAATCTCAGTTCCACCTCCACCCCGCATTTGACGTTGCCATTATTCAGTCACTTCATTCGGTAGTTCCACTCCAAGCAGTCTGTTACGTGCACTGAAGGTGGCATCTCTGCCAGCTGCTTGTGAGGTTTGGCCTAATAAAACATGTATCTGTTTGTGTTTCAAAACGCTGTTCGGGCGGTTTGGTCGATTGGAATGAAGAGGGTATAGGCTGCAGAAATTATCATTTTTTAGGATAATTCTTACAGCATTTTACCATACTGTGGTTTGCAGAAACTGTGTTTGTATTACAGGTCATTTAGTTTGTGAGGAACTGCTGTTTTGGTTTTTGGAGTTTACACTTTATGAGCATTTGAATTTGTCTGAGTTAACTGATTTTCTCAGCTGATTCATAGGAAACTTCCATTGTGCTTATTAAACTTATTGTATTTGATCTGCTGAAATTTGGTATTTCACTTAATGACCATTGGTCACAACTTTCTGTTTGGTCACCCCAGGCAATAAATAAAATCTACCCTACATACGGATGCACTGTATATAATTTTTTACATCCATCCATTCAATGGCACTAAAGCCCAATTTCGCGCCTTGGCCTCCTCTCACATGGGAGGTTTCTTTGTCCTTAAAGTGTGCATCTGTGAGTAGTGAGTGTACAATTTCTACTCAATCCTGATTTGACTGCTAGAGCCATCCAGAAGAGAATCGGGAGAGATGGGTGAGAAACGTGTGCTGAATTTGAGTTACAAAACTTCTCATTCATGCTCATAAGGTTCTTTTGTTGTTGTTCCTTGGCTCTACAACCCCATTGTGGGTTTTCATTGCCTCCTTTTCAGAGATTTCTTAGTCTTTGAAGTGTATATTTGTTAGTGAGTGACCAGCCCACTGACTACATAATTTATACTCAATTCTGATTTGACTGCCAGAGCCATCTAGCAGTGAATCAAGAGAGACTTGGGTGAGAAATGGCCGCTGAATTTTTTATACGAAACATCTGGTTCATGCTCGTAAGGTTATTTTCCATACCGTAAATCTACGACATGGGACTGCCGGATATACTTCCCCTCCGAAGGAAGTCCACCGCTGCTACGGACTTTTACCACCCTTCAAAATTCATCGACCTCGGCTGGGTTCAAACCCACGAACCTTGGGTCCGGTGGCAAGCATGCTAACCACCAGTCCACTGAGGGCGACATATAATTTTTTATATACTCACCCATTACCAAGAACAGCCTTGATTCTGTTTGAAAGGCATACTGTAGTTTGACCAGGAATGGACTGTTATCAATTTTTCCAAA